CTCCACAACAGCCGAAATCTAGAGCACCTTAGCGAGCTGTCTGCAACCCGCCAATAGATCGAGAATGATACAGCTTAAAAACGAGCTGCACAATATTTAGATGAAAGATTCTACAATGACACAATATCTCTCTCGCATAAAGCAGTTAATAGACAGTATCATCGTTGCCAGATCACACGTTGATACAGAGGATATAATTTTATACATACTAAACGGCTTACCACCTACTTATAACTCTTTTAAGACTACCATCCGCACCATACCGTTGCATTTTACCTTGGATACACTGTATTCACTTCTCTGTAGCGAAGAGATCCACGTTAACAATGAGTTCCAATATGATACTGCTCCAATCACAAACAGCTTGGCTCTCTACTCCGGAAGAGAAAGATCCAGTCGAAACAGAGGAAGTTATCATGGAAGAGGATACTCACCAAGACCGCAAAACAGCAACAATCGTCCTCAGCCAACTGCAGACAATGCTCGTCCAATCTGCCAAATTTGTGGCAAAACATGTCATATTGCCCCTTCACTGTTGGCATAGATGCAACCTAAATTACTCACCATCAGGACCTCCTCGAGCACTCATCACTCAACTATCCGAACAAAACACCACAACGACCGACCTGGTACTTAGATTCTGGGGCTTCATCACACTTAACATCTGATGTCATTCATCTGCAACACCCTCTACCATATGCAAGCAGTGAAAGAATCTCCATTGCAAATGATACATCCCTTCCAATTCACTCAAGTGGTCAAGGTCTTCTTCCCTTATCCAACACCCCAAAGAAGCTATATCTTCAAAACGTACTTCATGTCCCTTTTTAACTCATAATCTAATCTCCATTCACAAACTCGCAACTAACAACAAATGTTCTATTTGCTTTGACTCCATTGGCTTCACAATAAAGAACAACCTGACTCATCAACCAATCCTTAGAGGTCGGACGCATTACGATCTCTATATCATTCCATCTCCACAAAATTTTACTCTACAGACTACAAAGACTTCTACTTCTTTCTAGCATGCAAGATTGGGACACCCACATCACAACTACTTCAGTTCTTAGCTAGGAAAAATTCTACTATATGTCTTTCAAGTAGTTCTATCTTTTTATGTAACTCATATAATATGGCCAAAAGCCACAAACTATCCTTTTCTATTAATGAAATAAAAACTTCAGTTCCATTTATAATTGTTCATAAAAATGTTTGGGGTCCCGCACCCATATCATCCTTAAATGGCTACAATTACTATGTTGTTTTCATAGATGACTTCTCTTGTTTCTCATGGCTCTACCCAATGTACACAAAAGCTGAAACCATACAAAAATTTCAGCACTTCTTACATATGGTTAAAGCTCAATTTAATGCTCACATTAAAACTTTTCGATCTAATGGTGGAGGTGAGTATACATCTCACAATTTTAAAAACCTCTTGCTTCAACATGGTATCCAACATCAAATGAGTTGCCCATATACTCGTGAACAAAATAGAACTGTTGAGCGCAAACATCGGCATCATATTGAAACAACTCGTACACTTCTACATGCCTCTCATCTCCCACTCAAATTCTAGTTGGAAGCCCTACTAACAGTCAATTACCTCATTAATAGACTTCCTTCCAAAACCCTGTATCTCGACAACCCATTCAATCTTCTACATGGTCACCAACCCTCTTATACTCATCTAAAAACATGTGGCTGTCTATGTTATCCCTGGCTTCGTCCACTATCTCCTAACAAACTTCATCCACGTTCAGCTACATGTATCTTTCTTGGTTATTATTCTTCACACAAAGGGTATCGTTGCTTCAATCTTCAAACATCTAAATACACATCTCTCGCCATGTCATATTTCATGAAGACAACTTTCCCTATCTTACCTTACATACATCTATCTCCTCAACTTCACCCAAAGAAAATCACTCTCCTATCACTCTCATTCCAATCTCCACCATAAATACCTCACCTGCATTAACTCCTCAGCCTACCACTATTAACATCTCCACTTCCTCAACACCATCCATTCCCACACCATCCTCCCCTACAGCTTCACCCAAATCATCATCCCGCTCCACAGCAGCTAATACTCACTCATCCAATACTTCTTCTCCTCTCATACCAATCTCACATCACCAAATGCTCACTAGATACAAAACTGGCCACTTAAAACCAAAACAACATTTTGATCTTCTAGCCAAAATTCAAGCTCCCTTGACCCCAACCTGTTACATTCAAGCCATCAAGTTACCTTCATGGAGAATGGCAATGTCTGATGAATTCATAGCCTTACAAAAACAGGGAACATGGTTCCTTGTGCCACCACCACAGAATCACAACATACTTGGCTGCAGATAGACCCATCGAACTAAACTTAAACCGGATGGAAGTGTTGATAGATACAAGGCTCGCCTAGTCGCACAAGATTTCACCGAAGAGTATAGCATGGACTACAAAGAAACTTTCAGTCCAGTTGCTAAAATGTCCATATTTCAAATCTTACTCACTATTGCTCTTACAAGAAGCTCGCATGTTCTCCAATTAGATGTCTCTAATGCCTTTTTACACGGCACACTACAAGAGGAAGTCTACATGAGACAACCACTAGGTTTTGCTGATACGACTCATCCAGATTATGTATGCAAACTTCACAAGTCCATTTATGGACTCAAACAAGCTCCAAGACTGTGGTTTCAAACATTTATAGAATTTTTACAATCTCTTGACTTCTGGTTTAGCAACTCTGATCCTTCACTATTGATCTACACCAACAACAACACTCAAATCTACATCCTCACGTATGTGGATAACATACTCATCTCGCGAAACAACGATAGTTGCATCTCAGCTTTAATCATCAAGTTACAGTCCAAGTTCTCACTAAAGAAACTCGGTCCAATATCCTTTTTCTCAGGCATCCAAGTGCTTCACACACCTGATGGTTATTTCCTCAATCAATCTCAATATGCACATGATATTCTACAAGTGGCTGGGTTTACACAATGCAAATCAGCTCCCACCCCAATAGCAATTAAATCAGCCTCGATAGCACACAATGCAGTCAGCTTTGATCCGGGTTTATACAGGAAAATAGCAGGCTCTCTACAATATCTCACAATCACAAGGACGGATATAGCATTTGCTACTGATCTAGTTTGTCAACATATGCATAAGCCAACAGATCAAGCCCAACACATATTGAAACGACTCCGCTATATCCAAGGAACACTTCAGTTTGGTCTCCCAATCACTCGCGGTGACTTGCAACTGAGATCATTTTCCAACTCAGATTGGACATCAGATCCATTGGACCGCAAATCAATTACTGGATACTGCACGTTTCTAGGCAACACACTTGTCTCATGGTGTGTGAAGAAACAACTCGTTGTTGCCAAATCTTTAACAGAAGCAGAGTATCGCTCTCCAGCAACTGCTACTTTCGATATTATTTGGCTAAGAAGACTTGTCAATGACTTTCAAATCTCCACATCTTCTCCTACTACACTCTCATGTGACAATACTTCTACTCTTGCATTAGCCAATAATCCAGTTTTTCATGCTAAGACAAAACATATTGAGATTAACTATCACTTCATGAAAGATCACATTCTCTCAAAAGAAATCTCGGTTCAACATATCAATTCTCTTGATCAACTGGCTGATATGCTTACAAAACCATTGTCTTCTCATCGCTTCAAGTTTCTTAGAGACAAACTTACAATTCATTCAAATGAATTATAAGTTTGTGGGGCCTGTTAGCAACAATGATAAGCTATAACTATAAGCAAGCCTTCTTATCAAGGCTGCTCCACTACCCGCAGCAGGGAATCATTTCAACTCATGGTCACAATTACAAATGGACTACTCAGCCAATCACTTACAGAAATTTGTAACTAACCGAATATTTGATTCCTCTATGTATACCCACGGGTACAATGCTTAAGCAAAACGGAATACATTTTCACAAACAAATTTCATCTCTAAATGAACTACCCCGTCTGGGCCGATTCAATTCTACACAAGGCGGGCTAAGCCACCTCCTTAAACAAGCCGTCAAGGCTTGTGGGCCCCCTAGGGAGGAGACTAGAGAGAGGGCAGGTGGGGGCTAGCACTTTGGGAAACTATTTTGAATTGGGTTTATTCTAGGCAAGTTTTTATTGGCTTTGTATTAGGAAGTTAGGTATTTAAAAGAAGATGGAGGCTAGAGTTAGGGCATGCATGATTTGAGTTGTTCTCTTTGAGTTTTCCATGGCGTCTTGGGCTCTAGACTCGTCGTCTAGAGATTGGAAGAGAACGATCATCCTCTCGAATTGATGATCAATTGTATCTTTGCTTTACGTTTCCTTAGCTTTGATTTCCCTAATAAAATCTACAGTTTTGGGTTGATTTTGTTGGCATTTTTGTGTTCTTTCTCGCTGTTTTCATCAATTATCATTAGGGTTGCTTACGAACTCAAATAATTCCAATAGGATTACTTGCGAACTCAAGTATTTCCTATGAGATTCCCACATGCTTTGACCCAAATAAAGTTTACATAGCTTGAGTAGTACGGATAGCTCAACCTAAGATTATTGACACTGATTGACAAGCAAAGCTGATCTAAACCTAGCTAAGAAGTGCATTATCTGTAAACCCCAGCACTATTTGACTTAACCCATATGTCCTAACCAAAACTCATTCACACAATGTATGATCCATTCATAGCAAAACATAGTAGAATCATAAGCTAAATAGTTGTGGTCCAATTCAACTTTATGTCATAATGAAATTATTAAGTTCATATCTGTTCCACTAAGTTCTAACTTATCAAGCATATGAGCTAATTAAGAAATATAAGAATACTCGACAACTGCGCATCAAGCAAATAAAAGTCCAACACCTTTATACTTGAAGAGTAGGCAACATTATGTTTCAAGCTAAGTAGAACAGGTTAGTCAGGACTCGAGAAACAATAAAACATATGATGGTACAGATAGGAATTATGTGCAGTTTACCTTTGTTCTTGCTGAGTAAGATCCCCTAGCAAATAGTCCTACAGGGGTGGTCTCTTCTGGTGTCTCATATGTGTAAGGTTCAAGCTGAGGACTAAAAGTACCAAGCATCTCCTTTGTTCTGTCCACTGAACATAAGATTGCAAAAATATAAAACCATTGTGGAACAACTCTTCAATACATAAAAATGATAGAATACTCAAAAACCATACTAAAAACTTACCCCTAACACCTGTCTTCCAAACAGTGTTGATGTATCTCAGACCAGAGACAATATTATTACTGACAAAGAAGGTGAACTTTAGTTTGTAAGAGCTTCCCTCTTTCAAAGTAAACCATACACCTTTGGAATTTGGGACCACAGGCATTGGTAGGACTATATCAGCTCTTCCAGGGGATATGATTGAAAGGCTCAAGATATTGACATCTGGTTCCAATTTATCTACATCACATGACAATATCAAATATGGATTCTAGTTATCCAGTTCTACATGAAAATAAATTAGGCAAAAGGTAAGAATTCACGAGATCCCACTTCACAGAACAATCAATACTTTATGAAATGGCTAACATGTTCAATCAAGATCTATATCACTGATCACAACATTTCTTTAAGGATCTTTTTGATTTCAAGGAATCTGAGAGAATGCAAATGTATTTTACCTCAAAATTTCATTTTGGTGTTAGATTTTAACGTGTTTAGTAAGTAATTTATTTCACCAAAGAAATATGAACGAATATATTTTTCTTAGACAATTCCCACCTAACCCCAAGTGCAAAATAGGAAGGAAAATTTATTGGTTGTCAGCGCTATAACTTACATATTACATCCTCACAAAGAATAAAAAAAAATATATATATATATATATATATATATATTTTCGCTCAATTTCTCCTCAACCAAACAAGTGGATGAAAACTAATTTCAAATCTTTTCCTTATATCATTTCAATTTTTATTTCCGTTTCACTTTTTCTTTTTCTATTCCTTCAAACCAAACAGAGGCTGAAATATTCAAGGATTTTCCGACCACAAGACCAACAGAAAAACCATGCATTCAAAAAAAAGGTTCACCGTTCTAAAAACTAAGCTCCCAACAAGCACTCTCATGAGTACAAAATTTGCATCAATAAAAGTCAAACAAAGAGTGGATCGAGGGAAAATCAAAATATAAAGGAAAAAAGTCGGGCAAAAAGTGAAATTGTTCACCTCCAACGGAATTCAAATCCACACTCCCTAATAGCTGCTCCTTCCATCTTCTCAGGCTCTCATCATCCTGTCCCAAACGAATCACAAAGAAAGGAACCAAGGCCTCCATTTTAATCATCAAAATGAAAGAACATAAGCAGAATATAAAGAAAAACAGAAAGAAGACCTTATCCTTCTCTAGCTGATCCTTGAGAGTAACCTGCGGCCCCAAATCAAGCAAATTGTCTGCTTCTCCTTCTTCTTCCTCCTCATCGTCAAGGGATAGCTCGCTTAAGCATCTTCCAAGCTTCTCCTTTTCCTCCTCTTTCTTACCTTCCCCATCTACTGCACTCGCCAAGTTCTCGTTTTTCTTACTAGCCACATTGTTCTCTTCGAAATCCATATCTTTGGAACAACTAGAACAAGCTTCCACGGTCAAAGACATAGGATCTCCAACACATCAACACAGAGTAAAAGAAAGTTAACGAAACTAAATATGCCCACTAACGCAACCAACGGTAAGAAAAACTGGAAAGAAGTAAAAGAAAGGAAAATTCACGATTTTGAAAACAACAAGTCCAGAAATATTCAAATGATTTGATTTTGGAAACAATTGAAGAAGGCGATGAGATCGAGAAGGAGAAGAGCGGAAACTACGGAGGGAGAAGGAATAGTTTGCGGTACCTTTAGGGATTTTTCGCAGTTATTTGGTTTATTGGAATGGAGAAACAGGGGACAGCTGAGGAGTTGGATTAATTAACACAGAACGGAACGAGAGGGAGAACGTGAGGATCATTAGAAAGTCGGAGGATGCAACTTGACGGATTCTTTAATGTGCTTGGGCTGCTAATCTTATTAAAATACAGCGCTGTTATTCAACGTGTCGTATTTGAGAAAAAATTTTGTTGATGTTGTTGTTGTCAATGATATTGATACATCATCAAAAAAATTATCTTGATCGGCCACGAATCTCAATACAAAACTAAGTTGAAAACTCCCAAAATTAAAATTGGGAACATCTGAGTTCTGATTTCAGCAAACTTATAGTCGAACTGAACGCCTCGAGAATACGAACCCAACGACACCAAATCCAACCCCATTCGCGCCCAAATGGGTACAAATCAAGGGTTAGAAGCGCTGCAGGAAGATTCAAACCATAATTTGGATAACCAAACGGTTTCCAAACATAACATGATTATAGTCAAATCGAGCGGCTCGACGAGACGAATCAAACGAGCCCAAGATCATCGAATTCCGACATCACTAAGATATTCAAATGTTCATTAAATAGTCCATGATCAAGAGATTCAACATCGGCTGTCCATCCAACCACTCCCCATTTTCCCTTTATCTCTCATCTATTTACGGGTCATGCCACTCTAAAAATATATAAATAGAGCCCCATTTTCTCTTGAAAAGGGGCCACAAGCCGAAGGATTCAAAAGAGAGATCGGAGATCGCTCTTGCCTCCTTGCTCCTCCTTGACCACCGCCTGAGTTCCGAGGCGTTCATTTGCTTCGTCCGACCACCACTTGAGGCCCTCACCTCCGCCGGACCACCACTTGAGAACCTCACCTCCGTCAAACCACCACCTAAGGACCTAAGCTCTATCGGACCACCACTTAACGCCCAGAGTCTCGTTGGACCACCACCTGAGGCCCGGAGTTCCGCCAAACTACCACCTGAGGCCTGAAATTCTGACATACCACCAAGTGACGCTAGACTACCTCCTTATTCTTCACTAGTTTTTAACTTTACAATCGACATTTGTGATTTGATCTCCCTCAAGGACGAGTCAGGCCGCTATAACCTACTCAAATTCTAGTGGAATCACTTTCAACTAGGCTAGGCCCCATGGTTTTTTCCCTTTCCAGGATTTCCCACGTAAAAAATCTTGTGTTCTCTATATATAAGCTGGATATGCATGCAACGCTAAGACGTGGGACTCTAAATCTATCGTCGCATATATTATATCCCGCAATAGTTTGGCGTTGTTTGTGGTAAACTTTAATCCCACTACCTTAAGCACTCCTCAAATGGACAATAGGCGTAGTCATCGCATCTTGGGAGCCTCCCGCTCCAACTCACACCAATCCAGGAATCCTTTCATGAACCAGGGATGCTAGGTATCTGCTTCCTTTCACCCCGAGGGGCAAAACCCTACTGGGGAAGGAACATCAGGGCCCTCCTTAGAAGATTGAATCAAAAATATGGATGAGTCTCAGAACGAGATCCTTCAACTCTTACGAGATTCAAACTATCGAGCATCGATTCATACGACGGAACATCTAATTCGTATGAACATATCAATCACTATAAGACCATAATGCACATCTAACAAGCCTTTGATGCGCTCCTATGACAGGTCTTTCCAGTTACCTTCAAAGGGCAAGCTCGAACATGGTTCTATTCACTCCCCACTAAAACCATTCCAATGTTTGTCAAATTAGCCAAAATGTTTATCGAACAATTTGTTGCCAATCGGAGGATGTTCAAAGACTCTTCTCACCTCTCAGGAATTTGCCATAATGAAAATGAGTCCCTCAATAAGTACTTTCAAAGATTTTATACTAAGGCCCGACAAATTCCAGGGGTAGATCCCGAGTTACTTAGAGGTATATTTCTCAGAGAGCTTCATCCTAACCCCTTTTACTCATCACTCATGCAAGACACAAACCATTTGTATGCAGATCTGATCCATCATATGGAGGCTTAAATCTCTACCGACGAAGCCATTAATGCTCATATAAAGTAATTTGAGCAAATATGTATGAAGCATAAAAGTACACTATGAATGAAAAATCCATCCTCGTAGTGGAAGAAGCAAGGAAACTATAATCTGCCCCTTCGACCCTCACAACCGCGATGAGAGCCTCACCAAGAAAATGAGTATACACCACTTAATGTATCCCAAATAAACATGTTGATGGCCATCCGGGACTAGAAGAGCGTGAAGTGGCCACACCCTTTGAAGCCCAACATCGAAAATTAAGAACAATATTGCCACTTCTACTGTAGTTGTAGACATACTACTGAAGAAAGCAGGCAGCTCAAGGAAGAAATCGAGAGGCTAATCTGATAAGGATATCTCTGATATTTCATCCAGAGCCCGTCGGCTCGAGATGAGAGTGGTCCGACTAGGGGTTGAATCATAATCAAAGGCCTTATGCAGCTCACTCTCTATCTCATCACCATCAAAATCTAAAGGAGTGTCATCTAAAGCCTGACTAGGGGTCACCCCTTCGACTTGAACTCTGGTCTTCCATTGTATCAGGTGAATTGCCTTCAAAAAGCCTCGGATGAATCCCTCATTAATTCACTGCTACTCCGAAGCCTTCACTTCTACATCATAAATATGATCTCGTGCCTTCTGAACGTGATCTTGAATGATGGTCTTAAAAGTTATGGACTTCTTAAAATCTTTTATAACTCTTGAGGGTTCTAAGCTAGACAAAGTAGCCTCCTTCTCGGCTATAAGAGTTTGGGACCTCTTATTCTCCTCCTTGAGTGCCGCTATCTTCCCTACAGAGGCCTCTTAATCCTTTAAAAGCTAGGTGATTGTTACTTGTGCATCCACCAGGTCAATTTGTAGCCGATCTGCCTACTGATTTTGAAGAGACACATAGTATATTATATTGGAAAACTCAATCCCGCACTCACATAACTCCTCCTCTAGAACCTTTGCCTATTTGTTCTTATGATCATACTTCAACTTGAACTCTCCTTAAAGAAATTTAATCTTCACAAATTCATCGTTCCATTCGTTCAAAGCCTCAGTAAGCTCGATCCCAAGCCGCGACAACTAAAATATGGAAGAAAAGTACGTTAGAAGCCATCATAGAAGAAAAGAAGAAGAAGCGTTAGGAAAATATTACTCACCAAGTCATCAAATTTGCGGCGTCGATACATTAATGGCTCAAGATATCCCCAAGGATATGAAACTTAGTGGAGGAAGGGTCAGGTAGAGCCTTATCAATATTCATCGTAGTCCCCTCCAACTTCTTCTTCTTCAACAAAACCTGGAGGTCTTCACTTTTCTCCTATCATTTAGGAGCCATCTTTGAAACTGGGGTAGGGGGCTTAGGAACCTTAGAAGATGACTTCAATATCCATGCTTAAGACCTCCCAGCATGGAATGATAGCCCGGCCTTGAACAAGAACTCTTCTTCTATATATTTACTCAAGTAATGGACCTCATATAGAAGATATTTGATGTCAGAAATTAAACCTTGAGGATCCTCATTATATCTTATTCCTTGACGTACTGAACGACTGGTAGATCCCTCATCTTCCCCTACTTCTCAATCAGACCCCCAATCATTCTTTATAAAGAAAAATGTGCTGGCCTAGCTCTTTAAAGATCACAGGAATGCATATTCAACCATTTGGATCTAAATATTACGTGCCCCTATGTGTCACTAGTGAATCGACCCATCCGTAAAAGATGCTCAGGTATTAGAATAGCTCCTCATTTCCTAAAGAGCGCAATCAACCCCACGGTCACCGATATGGCTCTGTATTAAAATTGGGATAGGTACACTCCACACCGCTGCAAAATTTCAATTAGCTCAGCAAGAGGTGGAAAGCACAACCCACTCGTAAGCTGATTTCATAGACGATAAAGTACCCGGGAGGAGGGAGGCAATCCTGATCAGACCTCTTAAGGATCGTCACCACCACATCATTCGAAAAGTAAAAATTCTTGTGGAGAATGATCAGAGTGTCACTCGTGATGATGGACGCTGTCTCATCTACCCTCACTCCCTTATTTGGCCTCTTCTCACCATCCTACGGTGTGATAGGGTCTCTCCTGATTATAGGATCTCTCGATGGAAAGTGGTTGCCCGATATTACCCCTATATAAGGAGGGGCCCTACAATTAGACAAGGGATGCCACCTATCTAAAGGCAGGGGAATGCCTCCCTTATAGCAAAATAACTGAAGGGTGTTGGAGAGAGAGGGGGAGGATTTCCTTCTTGCATAGAGGTGCCTTGAGCTTAGACGAGGGATACCACCCATACAGGGTCAGGGGAAGGCCTCAATTGAAAGAAGAGAAAGAGAAGAGAATGTGTGAATTTAAGGGCCAGGGGGGGCTATTTATAGATGGGGAAGGGCAATAAAGTATAAAAAAACTTAGATGCCATATCATCAACAACATTAGTGCCACATTAGCACCACATTAATGCCACATCAACCATAAGCCCACATGTCATGGCCATGTCAGTCATGATCCTACGTATTGTGGCTATATTATCTACAACCCAACAGATCATGGGTGACACATCAACCATGATCTGCATGTCGTAGCCATATCACCCACGATCCTGCATGTCATGGACACATCAGCCAAGACCCAACAAGTCATGGGTAACACATCAGCCATGATTTGTGTGTTATGGCCATATCAGCCATGATCCTACTTATAATGGCCATGTCAACCACGACCCAACATGTCATGGCTTCTATATAATCAATCCACCCTTCGTGTCACTGCCACATCATTGATCTATCCTATGTATCACTATAATATCATCAATCTATCCTATGTGTCACTACCATGTCATTGATCTGTCTTATGCATCACTGCCACATCATTGAACAACCCTTCATGTTACTACCTCGCCATCGATCTATCCTGCATGTTAATGCTACTTCATCGATCTGTCCTGCGTATCACTACCATATCATCATCTATCCTTTATGTCATTACCACATCATCGATCAGTCCTGCGTGTCACTGTCACATCATTGATTTATCCTGCATGTCACCATCACGTTGTCAACCCATAATACCTGTCACTACCACGTTAGTGCCATAAAAATCCTTGACTTCAGTAGGAT